CCCTCCTTTAAGAGTAGACTAGTCCGACAGATAACCGATCTATCTGTCTGTAGGACTAGACTACTCCGAAAGGAGGGTAGTATACCTTACCTAATAATGACTTCATGGTTCAGCTAGCAAGCAAGCTAACCAGACATATTACCTTTACCTACACACTCAATGCATTTTGCTGTAACTAACATTGTAATCTAAGACAAAACCCAACAATAACTAGTAGAAACTACTTTTGTGTACTCTAACCATACCACATGTACATGCCACTGTCTCAAGAAAGGAACCTGGTAATTTTCTGTCTTTTGTATCATTTGAATGAATTTTTACCTTTGAGCAGTTCGAGGGATATTAGTGTTGATAGATCTTGAAATTCTCAGTTAAATTTCCTTGCAACTTTTTATGTTGAAAATAAGATGTTATTTGACTATTCGGGTTATACGTATTATATTTCCTCTGCACTTGTATAATTATTACTTCATCACGATGACAAGAATAACAGAAGGGAGTAACGTTAATTGATAAGACACAACAACAATTCGCTGAAGGCATGTTTACAAAATGTCAAAACGAGCCAAAGACCAAAAAAATTGACAAGGACAGTTCAATCGGCAATCCTCCGGTGACTCCGCTACTCTCCGCCGAGTTGTGACGAATGAAGGACAGTTAAGCCCCTTTTCTGGAGACAAATACTATGCTATTCATAAAAAGGCTTTTGGGTTTTTCAATCGAAATAATAGCAAGCTTACTTAAAAGATTATAATTAGAGAAGAATTCTCGCCTGTACTAGCCAATTTTCACAAATTTAAAGTTGTTTATAAATAATTATATCATGAATGATGGTTAATTACGTTTTTTGGGTAATCAGTCATACCGCATGTTGCTATTATTACCATAGGAAAACACCCGAGACGTCCCAAAAATATATAGGTGCTCCTATCATTGGAGTAAACACTACACAGTTGTGTACTCACATAGGCGGCACGAAATACGATCGGAAATCCATTTGACGATATCTCAACGTTTCAAAACGAAGTGAAAAATATCATGCGCCACGTGGGCACTTACATTTGTCACTCTATGCGCCATTTCTGGTCGATAAGCGCAATTGGCGCAAGGTGCATGTCCTTCCCGATCACTGCCTGTTTATCCGTATTTTACCTATACATTTTTGTAAATGGACTTAGTTTTTCTGCCAGTTAGCATTACATTCACTCTGTGGTTAAAGTTTTAATAACTTTCTAAAACTATCTTGGATTTGTACCAAACTTGGACAGAAGCTTGTTTATGATCAAAAGCTAGTATCTAGAAGGAAATTTTGTAAAAATTTATTTCCTGTTTTTCCATATATTACTTACAAGAGTGCACACGCTGAAATGTCTCGCCTTCTTTACAAATCATTGATATTATGTTGATAGTCCTAAATATAAATCTTTACTACAACTATCACATAAACTTAACATGATCCAAGAAAATGAGGTCAAGGTCATTTAAACCAAACAAGAAATACATGTACACCTTACAATCATTCAATACACTAAATATAGTTGACTTATTGTTTATAGTTTCTAAGATACAGACTTAACCAAGAAAACTAAACATTGACCAAGGAACCATGAAAATGAGGTCAAGGTCAGATGAACCATGCCAGGCAGACATATACAGCTTGTAATCCTTCCATACAACAAATATAGTTGACCTATTGCTTATAGTATTAGAAAAACAGACCAAAACACAATAAGTTAACACTGAGCAATGAACCGTGAAAATGGTCAAGGTCAAATAAACCCTGCAAGACTGACATGTACAATCATAAAATATTTCCATACACCAAATATAGTTGACCTATTGCATATAGTATTAGAAAAAAGACCAAAACTCAAAAACTTAACTTTGACCACTGAACCATGAAAATGAGGTCAAGGTCAGAAGACACCTGCCAGCTAGACATATACACCTTACAATCATTCCATACACCAAATATTGTAGACCTATTGCATACAGTATAAGAAAAACAGACCAAAACACAAAAACTTAACCATAACCACCGAACCATGAAAATGAGGTCAAGGTCAGATGACACCTGGCAGTTGGACATGTACACCTTAGTCCTTCCATATGCTGGACCTATTCTTCTAGTATCTGAGATATGGACGACCACCAAAACTTAACCTTGTTCACTGATCCATGAAACGAGGTCGAGGTCAAGTGAAAACTGTCCGACAGGCATAAGGACCTTGCAAGGTACGCACATACCAAATATAGTTATCCTATTACTCATAATAAGAGAGAAATTAACATTACAAAAAATCTTAACTTTTTTTCAAGTAAGTCACTGAACCATGAAAATGAGGTCAAGGACAATGGACATGTGACAGATGGAAACTTCGTAACATCTATATACAAAGTATTAAGCATCCAGCTCTTCCACCTTCTAAAATATAAAGCTTTTAAGAAGTAAGCTAACGCTGCCGCCAAAGTAGCCGCCAGATCACTATCCCTATGTGGAGCTTTCTGCGACAAAAGTCGCAGGCTCGGCAATAAATGGACTTAGTTTTTCTTCCAGTTAACATTATATACAGTCTGCAGTTAAAGTTTTCAAAACATTTATTAGATTCATAAACCATCCTGGATTTTTACCAAACTTGGACAGAAGCTTCTTAAATATTTATTTCATTAACTATAAATCTATTACCAGTATGTGCATTCCCCTATCACACTGAAAACATAGACAACAGCACAAGTAGGCGAGACAATGGGTTCTGCAGAACCCTCATGAATTTTTATTTAAAGTTTCTGTCTATCTATTATCATGATTATAGTTTTCAAAATTATAGGCAAAAATAAAAAAATATGGGTAAAATTCAACATTTAAGGGCAATATAAGAAGTCGACCGATAGATTGGATGTAAATGGACAGTAGTTAGATCTCAACATTCAGAATATTTTTGTCTTTTACCCCCTTTGTCCTATTTTTAGTCATGTCAGCCATGTTGGTTGGCAGGTGGGGGTCATCAAACACATTTCAAACTAAATACCCTAATGAAGATTGTGACCAAATTTGGTTAAATTTGGCACAATAGTTTCAGAGGAGAAGATTTTTGTAAAAGTTAATGGACAATGACAAACAACAGAAGCCAAATGATAGCAAAATCTCACACTGATGCTTTGGGCAAGATGAGAATAAAATGAAGCACTACAAAATAGTTAGTATAAATATAATTTATTCATAATAAAACAAACAAGCAATTTGTATCAAGATTCATTTTCATTCTCACAACAATATTTAAACAAACACCTCGATGATAAATCATATGGTCCAATAAAACCACATAGCAGTTAGTATTATGTATCATACACAAAAAATGACCATGGATTCCTTATGTTAGCATTAAAATCAAATCACGTCACTAACATAGGGTAGGTCAAATTTTGCCATTTTGGTAAGTAATGTAAATGGGATAAAATGTGAAAAATGAGAAATAGCACTGTGAGGTCAAACAAAGTTTAAATCCTTTTCAAACAAAAACATAGATCATAAATCATTTATCGTCTCTGGAATGCCAAGAAAATGACTCATTCTCATTTTCACTTATCATATGTTCGTAATATATTCACTATATCCAGATTATTACATAATCTTCGTTGTTAAGTACACATACTTTTGGGACATTTGAATAAACTTGCATGATCTTGCAGTGTCCCCCATAATCTCCATTACACCATAAAACTTCAATATAACATAAAAATATATTTCTTTCGAACTATTGTCCCATTTTTTTTTAATGAAGTACATTCACGCATATATTGAATTTTTATCGCAATTTCATCCAGTTCAATCACTACCATGATCCAAGGTCTAACTATGTTATGTTTGGAAAATACAAAAAAAAAAATCAAATGACCTATTTTACGACCTTATAATGTAATATGAAAATGTTGTTGGCAGTTTTCTGACAAATTGTTCACTAATTAAACATCCATTCACAGCATTCAACACCATGTATCACTACTGTCAACAAAATTTCCACACAAATTTGATAAAAAAAAAATCGTCTAAATTTCTCAGTGTTATAATTCATCATGGGCATCTTCTGTCGATTCTTCTTTTTTCTGAAAAATGAGAGAAAACATGACTTAAACTGCCATTATTTCTCCCATCATACCCCTGATTTGCCTGTGTGTTTATTTCGCCAGCAACACGCTTTTTGTGTTAGTATTGACAATTCATTCAAGATATTCCTCCCGAACACAGGTCCATGCATAACATGTTCTCAAAGAAACTGTAAATCTCAATGAAATAATTTTCTTGAAAATTTTTTTTTTGCTTTAAAAAATAGCAAAATCTACATTTTTAATTGAGTATTCAGAATTCTGTGAGCACATAATTGTGTGCATGCCTCAATATGATGATCAAAAACTAAAAAATATCTAAACATGATCATGATTGTTAAAAACTCTCCAAGACAATTCTGATGTAACACACAGGCAAAGCAAAAAGGTATGACGGGAAAATAAAAAGATCACACTGCAGACACATGCTCTAAACATATTATTCTATTCCATAACATTGTGCATATATAGAACTAAAATATGTGTTGTTTCTATGTGTTTAAATATTGATGTTGATAATATAGCATTATTCATATTTTTAACCGATATAAACCCTTCTATTTGCTGAAACTTGTGATAATATTTCTATTGTCTTTCTGTTCTTTTTGAAAATGTACATTTTGTTCTTTTGAAATCTCAATAATTTGGTTTTTATGTGTATAAAATTATCCATAATGCAAAAAATAACATATTTTCATTGTGTTGTGTTTGATCTTTGTGATTTTTTTTTCACCTCAACATTTTACAAACGCCTGCTTACAAATAACTGCACTATTTTGATTTTAAATGGCTTTAAAAGATTCTTAGATTCCCAAAATATTACTTCAAGGAACAAAACAATTTTATCACTTAAAATTGGAAGAATATTACGGTGATCATGCAAGATGATTTCTTACCTCATCATCTGCATCTGTTATTTCTTCCACATCATCAGCTGGAGCTTCCTCTTCTGGTTCTTCTTCAATCTGTAATTTACAATTAACATATAAATCCTTGTACAAATCTACAAACTAGTTGCTGATGCTGACACAAGTCTTAAAAAGGTGCAAGAAAACAGGATAAATTTCTGTGAAAATCATCTATACCATGTATACACTACTGGATGTATACTTTTTTGCTACAGTGGATTCATTATTTGTTGGATACCAATTTTCGTGCATTTCGTGGTCAGAGGGGAACCACAAATTTAAATGTTCAACAAATTACTAATTTTCTGAAGGAGTGTATGCAGATCTTTGCAAAACCACGAAATTAAATATCCATGAAAATGCAAGTTTTCTTCAATCCACGAAAATTGATACCTTGAAAATAAATGAATCCACAGTATTTTTAAATTCTTAACAAAAAGAATATTAATTGTTAAATAATTTGGTTGAAAGGTAGAAAAAGTTATTTGCATGGCAAATTTCATTAAAGTCTCTTCATTCTTATCTAAACCAGTCTTCTAGAAAGTTTGAAATTTGTGCCAGACATTGGGTTAGTCCAATGAAAAATTTTGCCTGGCAAATATAAAGATCACATAGAAACTTTGTTTTTATTACTATGTTCTGGTCTTTGGCTGAAACAGCTTGATATGGAACAATCTTGAACTTAGTCAAACCTTCAATTAAGGTCACATCTATTATAAAATGAACCCCCACTTTAGTAATATAAATGCATTTTTAATCTCAATTCAAAGGTCATCTCTCTAATAAGGTCAGTTTCCGCTGGTCCAGAGAATGACAATTTGTATACAGGTTTGATTTGATTTTTGATTTTTGGTGTTTTAACGCCACTTTTAAGCACAGCTTTTGGGCTATTTCCTGGCGGCCAGTTTTTATTGGTGGAGGAAGCCAGAGTGCCCGGAGAAAACCATGACCTTCAATAGGAAAACTGACAATCCTAGTCAATTAAGATTGGAGTCGAGTGCACCCGCACAAGCGGGATTCGAACTCACAACCTCAGTGGTGACTGGCTAGTGATTACAGTAGTAACTACTTAGACCACTCGGCCACCAAGGCCCCCTATACAGGTTTGAATGTACTAGAAAACATACCTTTGCATCTAATGGTACATCCAATGAAAGTCTTAGCATTCTTTCTACTCTCTCAGCAAATCCTTGTGTATCTTGTAATGAATATCCCGATCGTAATGTTGCTGTTTCAAACATAACAACAGCTAAGTCTTTAGCAGTTTGGTCATTAGCATCAGCCTACAATGTTTAAATGTTTTCATGTTAAAACTGTTGAAAGAAATATCTCATTTAGAAAACCAGACACATATAAACAAAGTAAAAATAGTTTGGAATCTAGCATTTTAAAGACTATTTTTAAGACTATCAATTATATAGAATGGGATATAAAGTTGACATAAACAGGGAAACTTAAAATAATGTACAAGAAAAATTGAAAAACAAGAAAAAAATGCATCATACTCAGCAGTTATTCATCTTAAAAGTCACCTTAAAAATATGTCTTTTTCATGTTTAATTTTTCTTAATTTCCTTGTTAAGTAATTTGATTCATCTTTTTCTTTTCTTTGTTTTAGCTGTTATATTTTTACTTATAGATATATCCTCAGATAAACGATTTTAGTTCCTACACATAAATACATATGACATGTCCCATGACAACTATAGATCAAGATGAAGTATGGTGTGGTAAAACTAATAAAATGCTCCGCTGGGCGCAGCTTGATACGAACGCAGAGGTCTAACCCTGAACAGTTGGGGCAAGTATGGACACAACATTCAAGCTTGATACAGCACTGAATTTGGATTGTGATTAAATATTTGACACAGCATAGGTTTCTGACACAGAATGAATGTGGTCTAAGAACTTAAAAAAATTTAATTTACCTATTCAAACCATATCATTATTATTTGCTTTTATATATAAATCAGAAATAACCAATTTAAAATGGAAAATTTTAAAGAAAAAAAAAGGAAACCCCCCCCCCCCCCCCAATTTTTTGAACCCCCTTATGATTCATCACCCCCAAACTCAATCCCAGCCTTCCCTTTGTGGTATGGTACCTTGCAGTACAATTTCAGAGAGATCCATACACTTGAACACAAGTTATTGTCTGGAAACTAGAAAAATGCTTATTTTGGCCCCTTTTTACTAAACATTTTGGGCAATTACCCCAAAACTCAATTCCAGCTTTCCCTTTCTGATATGGAACCTTGTAGTACCATTTCATAAAGATCCATCGACTTACACACAAATTATTGTCATGAAACTAGAAAAATGCTTGTTTTTTGCCCCTTTTTTGGCCCCTAATTCCTAAAATTTTGAGGCAATTACCCCCAAAATCAATCCAAGCATTTCCTTTGTGATATGAAACCTTGCAGTACAATTTCAGAGAGATCCATACACTTGAACACAAGTTATTGTCTTGAAACTAGAAAAATGCTTATTTTTGGCCCCTTATTCCTAAACCTTTTGGGCAATTACCCCCAAACTCAATTCCAGCTTTCCCTTTGTGATATGGAACCTTGTAGTACAATTTCAGAAAGATCCATAGACTTGCACACAAGTTATTGTCATGAAACTAGAAAAATGCTTGTTTTTTGCCCCTTTTTTGGCCCCTAATTCCTAAAATTTTGAGGCAATTGGCCCCAAAATCAATCCAAGCATTCCCTTTGTGATATGAAACCTTGTGGTACAATGTCAGAGAGATCCATACACTAACACACAAGTTATGTCTGGAAGTTACAAAAATGCTTATTTTTGGCCCCTAATTCCTTAACTGTTGGTACCATAACCCCCAAAATCAATCCCAACCTTTCTTTTGTGGTATTAAACCTTAGGGTAAAATTTCATAGAGATCCATTCACTTAAACTAAAGTTAGAGTGCGAAAACCAATGTGTCTTCGGACGACAACGACGACGACGCCAACGTCATACCAATATACGACCGCAAATTTTTTTTGCGGTCGTATAAAAATCAAACCTATCCAATATACCTTTTATACTTGCAGTGAGGGGACAGTTTTTTTTGCTCTGTGTTAAAGGCCTCACTGTGACTTTGAGATTAAGAACAACAATAAAAGCGCTGTTCCTTTGGTTGTTGTGTTTTTTTTTTGCTGTGCATGAGTCATGAATGGATACCCCATATCCTTTGTTTTTCTATTATATTACTTGTTCTTTTTAGTGAATCAGTGAATGAAATTAAGAACTGTCATTGTTTTCTATACACAATCTTTCTCCTTCTATTTAAAGCAAGCATTCACTAAAATCGACCAAGTTAAAATTCATAACAAAGAAACTATTTGCACTTACATCAACTTTAGTTTTTAATTCTTTAATAAGTGGATGTCTTGTGTTAATTTCTAACGTCTTTTTCTGACTGGAGTAAAAACTGCAATAAACAAAGTAATAAATATATATAGTGATACATGAGGAAATGGAGTAAAAGTTTAAGAATCTGATTATACACATCAACTGCATTTTTATCAAAAAACTGTTCTCACTAGTTTTTTTTTGGCAGTGTTCAATTTTCTTTGTTTTAAACACATCAATAATGAGCATACAATACATAATTTTCATAAATGTATATAGAAACAAAATTTCAATTTGAAAACAGTTTACATCCCTAATTTGCACATATTTTTTGCAATAAAGAGTCACAGAAAGCATGTAAATAAGTATCAATGTTTAAAAACAAATCTCGATTCTAATAAAAATCTAACCTTTGGGAAGCATCTTGTGCTTTGGCATAAGCTTGAGCCTTCATTATTCTCTCCATATTTCCAGACCAACCGTAACTACTGGCAACCAGAGCACATGGTGATGATGTCAGACGATCAGATACGGCAGCTTTTTCAATCTTATCTTTGAGTGCATCCTCTTTCAACCATTTCATCAATGGCTCGTATTCCTTTTCTAATGCCTCCTTTCTTTCTTTAGCTTTATCGGAGTCATCTATTTTTAATCCTTCCTTGGCAACGTTTTGGAATTTTTTGCCATCAAATTCCGGTAAGGCCTGAACGCAGTATTCATCAACAGGTTCTGTCAGGTACAGAACTTCGTATCCTTTTTTCAACAATCTTTCTACAAATGGAGATTTCTCTACCTAAAAAGACAAGACCAATAACCTTAGTTCTTTATTGTAATTTATCCAAAAGGGTTCAACAAAACTGACCTAGAGCACATACATACTATTAATTCAATTCAGTCTTTGTTATGGACCCCAACATCCCAAAGGGTTACATTTCTCTACCTAAAAAGATAAAACCAATAACCTTAGTTCTTTATCGTAATTTTTTCCAAAAGGGTTCAACAAAACTGACCTAGAGTGCATACATACTATTCATTCAATTCAGTCTTTGCTATGAACCCCAATATCCCAAAGGGTTACTGAGGTATAGAAATATGATAACCTGGCTTCATGTATGGTAGTAAAACCAATGCAGAAAAGGTGTTCATTGGGCTTTGCAGGATGCATAAATAGGCAGCCACATCCCGTTGGAAGTGAGATGTTAAATTTAAAACCTCATGTTGAGAAAGTGCCTTGCTCTCTGCATGTTAAAGACCCTATGACAACTCTGAGAAGTTCTGGTAGGGGTCATTCATGAAATATTTGCCATCAGACGTTATAAAGCAAACAATGATCAATAAATCATTGTTACCAATTCCATAGATTGTAAAAGTTCCTGTTTCCTATCAAGATGATGAATTCATTTTCAAACAATTCAACTACAATTTTCATTGTTTACTGAACCTGTCAAGCTTTTTTTGTTACAATTGATTTACATGCAACACAAATTAACATAATAAGCATTGTGTACAAGTTTCATAACATTTGGTTAAGGCAAACTAAAGTTAGAAAATGGAAACCAATTTCGGGACGTACAGACGGACAAGGGTAAAACTTAATGCCCCCTCCGCTATGGCGGGGGCATAAAAATGTTCAATATATCATATACTGCTTCATTCATAATGCTTTACCTCTTCACGGCTTGTTCCAGCAACAAAGAAAATAGCTTCTTGTTTTTCTTTCATTCTTTCGACATATTCCCCTAAACTGGTCTGTTCTGTATCAGAGTTGGAGGAGAAAAATTTCAAAAGTTTGGCCAGACGAGTCCTATTGGAGTTATCTTCAATAACACCCAATTTAATGCTAAAAATTAAATAGATTAAAATTTAATAGTTCTATATGACAAATGTATATAAACGATTTTAATAAAATTCCTATACCTATCAAATATACCAATTAAGAATTAATTTGAAATTACAAAACAATGTAGGCAATATTTACAAGAACGATATCAAAATACTTTAGATTCTTTTTCGGAATAGGTGTAACATGTTCATTTTTATAATCTCACTATTTTTGTCATTTAAAAATTAGTGTTCTTTTTCAACATGAAAACACTTCATTTTTATTCCAGCATGATCAGAAAAGCTAACACAAATTTTAAATAAATTTGTTTTGCCATAAAATTAAATTTGGTGTCAATAAACCTTGCAATTTTACACATTCAGTTTGTTCATAGAAGGTGTCCTTATATCACAAAGGAACTACCATGTAATTTAAATGCAAATCAACTCTTATATGAATGGCTTAAAATGGTGACATAAAATTGTAATTTGACTGGTACAGGTATTTTTGAAAATATTCATAATACTTGTTAGATTTACACATAAACCTCACTGGACGACAATCTCAACTTAAAAGTTATCATTAATATCTGAATTTGAAAACTACACTTACTTTGTACTGAATTCTTTCCAGAATTTATCATAATCTTCTTTTTCAATCTTTTTGATCATATCCAAAGTTTTTCTGACCAGTTTTTTCTTGATAACTTTCAATAATTTATGTTGTTGTAAAGTTTCTCTTGATACATTCAATGGCAAGTCATCAGAGTCAACCTGTAAAACAAACAGAATTCTTATTTGAAAATAATGTCTTCAAATTTGTTGGAAGGCAAATATAAATGGAGAAGTGACTTGTTCCCTGTGCATTTCAAAAGATTTGAGTAGTCAGAATATGATGCAGAAGCTGCTGTCCCTGACCTTAATTCACCCGCTGGGTTCTTGTAAGGTTTCTGTTTGTGGTTTGTAGACTTTTTGTCTGTTTATCATTTTTCTTTTGCCTTGGTTTGTTTGGTTCCTTATCATTGTTTCTGTTTGTAATTTTTACTAATTATTTTTAAGGTAATATTCAATAAAATGCTTCGCTGGGGCGCAGCTTGATACGACCGCAGAGGTCGAACCCTGAACAGTTGGGGCAAGTATGGAAACAACATTCAAGCTTGATACAGCTCTGAATTTGGATTGTTATTAAATATTTGACACAGCATAGGTTTCTGACACAGAAAGAATGTGGTCTAAGAACTTGAATTTTTTTAATTTACCTATTATGGTCCAATGTCCAAAATCAAAATACATGGTTAGATTCAGCATATCAAAGAACCCCATATATTCAATTTTTGTTAAAATCAAACAAAGTTTAATTTTGGACCCCAACTTGGACAAACTTGAAAACTGGGCCCATAATCAAAAATCTAAACACATGTTTAGATTCAGCATATCAAAGAACCCCAAGAATTCAATTTTTGCTAAAATCAAACTAAGTTTAATTTTGGACCCTTTGGACCTTAATGTAGACCAATTTAAAAAACGGGACTTAAAATTAAAAATCTAAATACACGGTTAGATTTGGAATATCAAAGAACCCCAATAATTCAATTTTTGATGAAATCAAACAAAGTTTAATTTTGGACCCTTTTGACCTCAATATAAACCAATTTGATAGCGGGGCCCACAAATAAAAATTCTAAATTCATGGTTAGATTCAGCATATCAAAGAACCTCATATATTCAATTTTTGTTGAAATCAAACAAAGTTTAATTTTGGACCCCAATTTGGACCAACTTGAAAACTGGGCCCATAATCAAAAATCTAAATACATGTTTAGATTCAGCATATCAAAGAACCCCATATATTCAATTTTTGTTGAAATCAAACAAAGTTTAAATACTGGACCCTATCTTGGACCAACTTGAAAACTGGGCCCATAATCAAAAATCTAAACACATGTTTAGATTCAGCAAATCAAAGAACCCCAAGAATTTAATTTTTGTTAAATTCAAACTAAGTTTAATTTTGGACCCTTTGGACCTCAATGTAGACCAATTTAAAAAACAGGACCCAAAATTAAAAACCTAAATACACGGTTAGATTTGGAATATCAAAGAACCCCAATAATTCAATTTTAGATGAAATCAAACAAAGTTTAATTTTGGACCCTTTTGACCTCAATATGAACCAATTAGATAACGGGGTCCACAAATAAAAAATATAAATACATGGTTAGATTCAGCATATCAAAGAACCCCATATATTCAATTTTTGTTGAAATCAAACAAAGTTTAATTTTGGACCCCAATTTGGACCAACTTTAAAACTGGGCCAAAAATCAAAAATCTAAATACATGTTTTGATTCAGCATATCAAAGAACCTCATATATTCAATTTTTGCTAAAATCAAACAAAGTTTAATTTTGGACCCTTTGGACATTAATGTAGACCAATTTGAAAACTGGACCCAAAATTAAAAATCTAAATACACTGTTAGTTTCGGCATAACAAATAAATAAATGTGATCAAAGATTTTACAAATCTAATGCGCCATACTGTGCAATTAAAGATTACTTCTTGAAATTTTTCAATATTTGAAATTTGAAAAAAAAATAATATTTGAAGAATAATTCTTTTTAATTTCTGAAATCTGAAATGAGAAAAAATTGGCCCCCCACAATTTCTTTTTATCCCCCCCCCCCTTTTTCCCCCAAAAAAATTCTTTCCCTCAAGATATGGTCATAATCTCAATTCTAATTTCCAATGGAGTTGGCAACCATAATTACCCATTTAAATTTACCATAGTGCTAACTTAATCTATTTTATAATAGAATTAATAAAAATATAGTGTCAAATCTTTCATATGGATTTTTTTGTAAAAAAAAAAGATGAAAACATTTGCAGATATTTTTACTGGTCTTCCTTTATAAATATGCATTTCTTTAAACATAATTTAAAAGCAGTGTAAGGGAAGTAACCAAAACGTTGTATTTGGATTACCTCCCTTACACTGTTTTAGATTATCTTTATTGTTCATTAACCATTACTTTATACATAATTTAAAAGCAGTGTAAGGGAGATAATTTCAATGATGTATTTGATTTATCTCCCTTACACTGCTTTAAATTATGTTTTGTACTAAAGTATTTGTCCATTAACCAGGACAACCTTGTTTTTCCCCCTTTTTTGCCCCTAATTCCTAAACGGTTTGAGCCATAACCCCTCAAAGCAAATCCTAACCATCCCTTTGTGGTATGGAAACTTGTAGTATAATTTCAGAGAGATCCATACACCGTTCCACATTTATTGTCTGGAAACTAGAAAATGCTCATTTTTGGCCCCTTTTTGGCCCCTAATTCCTTAACTGTTGGTACCATAATCCCCAAAATCAATCCCAACCTTCCTTTTGTGATATTTAACCTTATGGTCAAATTTCAAAAAGATCCATTCATTTAAACTAAAGTTAGAGTGCGAAAACCAATATGTATTCGGACGACGACGCCGGACGACGACGACGCCAACGTCATACCAATATACGACCACAAATTTTTTTTGCGGTCGTATAAAAACTCTTAAAAGTTCATAAAAAATTATCATTCAACAGCAATTCATAATAAACAAGAGTGCACACGCTGAAATGTCTCGCCTTCTTTACTAATCATTGATATTATGTTGATAGTCCTAAATATAAAGCTTTATTACAACTGTCACATAAACTTAACATTAACCAAGTAAACTAAACATTGACTAATGCACCATGAAAATGAGGTCAAGATCAGATGAACCATGCTAGGCAGGCATGTACAGCTAACAATTCTTCCATACAACAAATATAGTTGACCTATTGCTTATAGTTTAAGAAAAACAGACCAAAACACATAAACTTAACACTGAGCAATGAACCTTGAAAATGAGGTCAAGGTCAAATAAAACCTGCGTGACTGACATATAGATTATAAAATATTTCCATACACCAAATATAGTTGAACTATTGCATATAGTATTAGAAAAAAAGACAAAAACTCAAAAACTTAACTTTGACCACTGAACCATGAAAATGAGGTCAAGGTCAGATGACACCTGCCAGCTAGACATGTACACCTTACAATCATTCCATACACCAAATATTGTAGACCTATTGCATACAGTATAAGAAAAACAGACTAAAACACAAAAACTTAACTATAACCACTGAACCATGAAAATGAGGTCAAGGTCAGATGACACCTGCCAGTTGGACATGTACACCTTACAGTCCTTCCATACACCAAATATAGTAGACCTATTGCATACAGTATAAGAAAAACAGACCAAAACACAATAAAATGCTTCGCTGGGGCGCAGCTTGATACGACTGCAGAGGTCGAACCCTGAACAGTTGGGGCAAGTATGGACACAACATTCAAGCTTGATACAGCTCTGAATTTGGATTGTTATTAAATATTTGACACAGCATAGGTTTCTGACACAGAAAGAATGTGGTCTAAGAACTTGAATTTTTTTTAATTTACCTATTATGGTCCAATGTCCAAAATCAAAATACATGGTTAGATTCAGCATATCAAAGAACCCCATATATTCAATTTTTGTTAAAATCAAACAAAGTTTAATTTTGGACCCCAACTTGGACAAACTTGAAAACTGGGCCCATAATCAAAAATCTAAACACATGTTTAGATTCAGCATATCAAAGAACCCTAAGAATTAAATTTTTGCTAAAATCAAACTAAGTTTAATTTTGGACCCTTTGGACCTTAATGTAGACCAATTTAAAAAACGGGACTTAAAATTAAAAATCTAAATACACGGTTAGATTTGGAATATCAAAGAACCCCAATAATTCAATTTTTAATGAAATCAAACAAAGTTTAATTTTGGACCCTTTTGACCTCAATATGAACCAATTTGATAGCGGGGCCCACAAATAAAAAATCTAAATACATGGTTAGATTCAGCATATCAAAGAACCCCATATATTCAATTTTTGTTGAAATCAAAAAAAGTTTAATTTTGGACCCCAACTTGGACCAACTTGAAAACTGGGCCCATAATCAAAAATCTAAACACATGTTTAGATTCAGCATATCAAAGAACCCCAAGAATTCAATTTTTGTTAAAATCAAACTAAGTTTACTTTTGGACCCTTTGGACCTCAATGAAGACCAATTTAAAAAAGGGGACCCAAATTAAAAATCTAAAAACACGGTTAGATTTGGCATAGTAAAGAACCCCAATAATTCAATTTCTGATGAAATCAAACAAAGTTTAATTTTGGACCCTTTTGACCTCAATATGAACCAATTTGATAGCGGGGCCTACAAATAAAAAATCTAAATACATGGTTAGATTCAGCATATCAATGAACCTCATATATTCAATTTTTGTTGAAATCAAACAAAGTTTAATTTTGGACCCCAATTTGGACCAACTTGAAAACTGGGCCCATAATAAAAAATCTAAATACATGTTTAGATTCAGCATATCAAAGAACCCCATATATTCAATTTTTGTTGAAATCAAACAAAGTTTAAATACTGGACCCTATCTTAGACCAACTTGAAAACTGGGCCCATAATCAAAAATCTAAACACATGTTTAGATTCAGCATATCAAAGAACCCCAAGAATTCAATTTTTGCTAAAATCAAACTAAGTTTAATTTTGGACCCTTTGGACCTCAATGTAGACCAATTTAAAAAACAGGACCCAAAATTAATAAAATGCTCCGCTGGGGCGCAGCTTGATACGACCGCAGAGGTCAAACCCTGAACAGTTGGGGCAAGTATGGACACAACATTCAAGCTTGATACAGCACTGAATTTGGATTGTAATTAAATATTTGACACAGCATAGGTTACTCACACAGAATGAAAGTGGTCTAAGAACTTAAAATTTTTTAATTTACCTATTCAAACCATATCGTTATTATTTGCTTTTATATATACATCAGAAATAACCAATTTAAAATGGAAAATTTTAAAGAAAAAAACATACATGTGATGGACTGTGAAACTCAGATCAGGAGATTGGAAAATTTTGGTCAGGAGATTAGGACTCAGATCAGGAGGTTTTTAATCGACATAAAGTTTGTCGTAAATGTAACCGTGTGCTGTAAAAATTGTCTTTTAAAGTGTGTTTTCTTCAACTTTCAATCCGAATGTATTATGTTTTATGTTTATAGTACCCTTGTACTTATAAAGTTTCTTTATCTTAATATTCTACATGTTCAATCTAAGATTCTTTTTTTTTAGTATGTTCTTTAAATTTTTCAATTCATATCTTTTATATCATTATTCTATAGGACAAACATTGCAATCAGATCATTTGTTTACCTATCTGCATTTGCAGTTAGATTTTATTTGAATAATCAGAAACTCATTTAAATTTAGAATATGGGTCATAGTTATTATATGAATTCAATTTAAGCCTTGAAAGAAAGTATAGAACCCTCAAATAATTTTCAAATTATTATTTTTTGATTTGTCCTAAGACATTTAAAATCATTTAATTACCATCCTTTTATGATTATTTGTTCAATTTATATTTTATTTATATTCTTTTAAAAATTTACATTATTTAAAGGAAAGTAACTTAAAACAGGATAAATCAGGGGAAGTAACCCAATAAATACACAAAGTTTTTATTACACAACGGCAGTTAGCCTGAGGTAAAAATCGTTGATTACCAGTATGTTTGACACCCAAGCTGACAAGTGAAGCCATATAATTATGCATGTTAATTGATTTACAGGTAAAATATAACTTCAGGTGATGTCAGTTACACCAGATGTCTGAGATGATATGTTGGGCAGATTTCATACACAGGATTTTTTTCTCTTCAACGCGAGGTCGGGAGGAGACCCCTGAAAACGGGATTATTGTACTCCCGTCGGGAGGTTTACATGTATGAAAAAAAGAAAAAAAAATCCCCCAAATTTTTTTGAACCCCCTTATGATTCATCACCCGATTGGCCCAAACTCAATCCCAGCTTTCCCTTTGTGGTATGGTACCTTGCAGTACAATTTCAGAGAGATCCATACACTTGAACACAAGTTATTGTCTTGAAACTAGAAAAATGCTTGTTTTTTGGCCCCTTTTTGGCCCCAAATTCCTAAACGTTTAGGGCAATTACCCCCAAACTCAAACCCAGCTTTCCCTTTGTGATATGGAACCTTGCAGTACAATTTCATAAAGATCCATACACTTACACACAAGTTATTGTCCTGAAACTAGAAAAATGCTTGTTTTTTGCCCTTTTAAGGCCCCTAATTACTAAAATTTTGAGGGAATTACCCCCAAAATCAATCCCAGCCTTCCCTTTGAGGTATGGTACCTTGCAGTACAATTTCAGAGAGATCCATACATTTGAACACAAGTTATTGTCTGGAAACTAGAAAAATGCTTATTTTTGGCCCCTTTTTGGCCCCTTATTCCTAAACTTTTTGGGCAATTACCCCCAAACTCAATTCCAGCTTTCCCTTTGTGATATGGAACCTTGTAGTACAATTTCATAAAGATCCATACACTTACACACAAGTTATTGTCATGAAACTAGAAAAATGCTTGTTTTTCGCCCCTTTTTGGCCCCTAATTCCTAAAATATGGAGGCAATTACCCCCAAAATCAATCCCAGCATTCCCTTTGTGATATGGAACCTTGTGATACAATGTCAGAGAGATCCATACACTTACACACAAGTTATTGTCATGAAACTAGAAAAATGCTTGTTTTTTGCCCCTTTTTGGCCCCTTATTCCTAAAATTTGGAGGCAATTACCCCCAAAATCAATCCCAGCATTCCCTTTGTGATATGGAACCTTGTGGTACAATGTCAGAGAGATCCATACACTTACACACAAGTTATGTCTGGAAGTTACAAAAATGCTTATTTTTGGCCCCTTTTTGGCCCCTAATTCCTTAACTGTGGGTACCATAACCCCCAAAATCAATCCCCACCTTCCTTTTGTGGTATTGAACCTTATGGTAAAATTTCATTGAGATTCATTCACTTAAACTAAAGTTAGAGTGCGAAAACTAATGTGTATTCGGACGACGACGACGCCAACGTCATACCAATATACGACCACAAAAATTTTTTTGCGGTCGTATAAAAATCTAAATACACGGTTAGATTTGGAATATCAAAGAACCCCAATAATTCAATTTCAGATGAAATCAAACAAAGTTTAATTTTGGACCCTTTTGACTTCAATATGAACCAATTTGATAACAGGGTCCACAAATAAAAAATCTAAATACATGGTTAGATTCAGCATATCAAAGAACCCCATATATTCAATTTTTGTTGAAATCAAACAAAGTTTAATTTTGGACCCCAATTTGGACCAACTTGAAAACTGGGCCAAAAATCAAAAATCTAAATACATGTTTAGATTCAGCATATCAAAGAACCTCATATATTCAATTTTTGCTAAAATCAAACAAAGTTTAATTTTGGACCCTTTGGACCTTCATATGGATTTTTTTGTAAAAAAAAAAGATGCAACATTTGCAGATATTTTTACTGGTCTTCCTTTATAAATATGCATTTCTTTAAACATAATTTAAAAGCAGTGTAAGGGAAGTAACCAAAACGTTGTATTTGGATTACCTCCCTTACACTGTTTTAAATTATCTTTATTGTTCATTAACCATTACTTTATACATAATTTAAAAGCAGTGTAAGGGAGATAATTTTAATGATGTATTTGATTTATCTCCCTTACACTGCTTTAAATTATGTTTTGTACTAAAGTATTTGTCCATTAACCAGGACAACCTTGTTTTTCCCCCTTTTTTGCCCCTAATTCCTAAACGGTTTGAGCCATAACCCCCCAAAGCAAATCCTAACCATCCCTTTGTGGTATGGAAACTTGTAGTATAATTTCAGAGAGATCCATACACCGTTCCACAGTTATTGTCTGGAAACTAGAAAATGCTTATTTTTGGCTCCTAATTCCTTAACTGTTGGTACCATAACCCCCAAAATCAATCCCAACCTTCCTTTTGTGGTATTTAACCTTATGGTCAAATTTCAAAAAGATCCATTCACTTAAACTAAAGTTAGAGTGCGAAAACCAATGTGTCTTCGGACGACGACGACGCCAACGTCATACCAATATACGACCACAAATTTTTTTTGCGGTCGTATAAAAACTTAACTATAACCACTGAACCATGAAAATGAGGTCAAGGTCAGATGACACCTGTGAGTTGGACATGTACACCTTACAGTCCTTCCATACACCAAATATAGTAGACCTATTGCATACAGTATAAGAAAAACAGACCAAAACACAAAATCTTAACTATAACCACTGAACCATGAAAATGAGGTCAAGGTCAGATGACACCTGCCAGTTGGACATGTACACCTTACAGTCCTTCCATACACTGAATATACTAGACCTATTGCTTATAGTATCTGAGATATGGACTTGACCACCAAAACTTAACCTTGATCACTGATCCATGAAATGAGGTCGAGGTCAAGTGAAAACTGTCTGATGGGCATGAGGACCTTGCAAGGTATGCACATACCAAATATAGTTATCCTATTACTTACAATAAGAGAGAATTTAACATTTCAAAAAATCTTAACTTTTTTTCTCAAGTAGTCACTGAACCATGAAAATGAGGTCAAGGACATTGGACATGTGACTGACGGAAACTTCGTAACATGAGGCATCCATATACAAAGTATGAAGCATCCAGACCTTCCACCTTCTAAAATATAAAGCTTTTAAGAAGTTAGCTAACGCCGCCGCCGCCGGATCACTATCCCTATGTCGAGCTTTCTGCGACAAAAGTTGCAGGCTCGACAAAAATCATCACTGAAGAGCAATAACTCCAATATTAAGGAATTGTGTTACAATTTTGATGGGTTTTGTTTTTTTCAACAAACGGAAGCGCCATGTGTACACTTTCATCCGGGTATTCAACAAAGAAAGATAACTTGTGTTTCCAATGTTTTTAGCGGGAAATGTAAAAGAGGTATTCCGAACCCGGTAAACCGGGACTCATCGTCAGCTGTCTGAAGCGGGAATCGGTAAATTGGGAATCGTTGTTGAAAGGGTTAAGGATCATTCGAGTGAATATTGTCCAGTTTCAGACACAATATTTAAAAAAAGTTTGACAGTGTACTATGGTGAAATATGACAATGGACAGCAATATCTCACCTGACTAGGGGAGTTAAAAAATTTCAAAAAACTGTTCATATATTTTTATATATACTAAAGCTTACCATTCCTCTAACAAATGATAAATATTTTGGCATCATGTCTTCAAAGTTATCTGTGATAAATACTCTTCGGACATACATCTGAAAATGACAAAATAACATTAATTGCATTCATAACTTCTCAGCAAAATATCTAGTGAAAATGTTTTTATATTAGTTTACAATATATATATATGAAATGTCAACACAAGACTGTATGCAGCCTCAAATCCATCAATGCTTAATAATTAATAGTAAAATTATAGGAATTTCAAAATAGTTGTTTGACATCATAATTTCTACCACTTCCAAGCAATTTCTTGAGGTGACATAATTTTATTTGTTGAGTATTTTCTATCAATGTTCTGATATGCTAAATTAAAGCTGCTATATTTAAACATAATGCTATAAATATTTCTCATGCATTTAAGACTTGTATAGCTATATTAGACAATTAACAAACAAATGTTATCTTATTAAGCTTTCATGGAGTGCTAATTAATGATTGACTAAATACACCATTAAGAACTTGGTTGACATATTGGATCAACATCGGTCTACAACTGAAGACTGTAGATTGAGATTTGATGTTTTTATAATATTCATGTTGTTTGCTTGCTGTCTTCTTGAAATATACCCCACATCTTCTTTTATCCATCTACATTAAAACATGTGTTTACAAACCTTAATATTGTCAATATTTTTGCCATAATTCTGGAATGTATCATGTGGGGATGATTTAGGAACAAACAAAATGGATTTAAATGTCACTTCTCCCTCAGCAGTGAAATGTACTTTGGCTAAAGGCTCATCACTGTCTTTACTGAGATTTTTGTAGAATTCGTTGTATTCTTCATCAGTGATATCTGCTTGTCTGAAAAAAATATTGAATGTCCTATCATCATTTTGAACGAATATATATAAAACAAGAATATGTGTTTATAGAATACCTTATGTCATTCGCACTATCACAATTCCATGTTGAGTATTAATCCCCAAAACCCCCTAAAAAACTAATTAGGCATATATTTCAAAAGGTCACATCATAATGCACAAATGTACTAAGTTTCAAGTTGCAGTGACAACAATCTCATGGTAAACCTCTTTTTAACCAAACTTTAACCAAATACAGACTGAATGATGAATTGACACACAAATAAGAAAACATAATCCCAACCTCCACTCATCTACTATCTTATTCACATGCTGACAACTGGCTGAACAAAACAAATTTTTTTTTTAAAGCGTACAAGTTGATTTTATCTAAGGCAACAACATTATCAAAATGTAACAACTGTGTAGTGTATCCACCAGACCTGAAATGGAATGTTCTATTAAACAATATAAACGTATTTCTATGGCAATGGGCTAGTTCCTAATGGCACAGGTAGGTTTTAAATCCATTTTTTGAAAAATTAGTTCCCTCAATTCTTCTAGATTGCTTGTCGGATCATAACAATGATATAGTTGTAATTTTTTTTAACTAAATTTCAATTACTGCAGAATTAAAAAAAAAAGAGGTTGAATTCTATACACAGGTCTTAAATAAAAATATCAAATTAAAACCCAATACTCACTTTCTGGTCCAGATAGGTTTGACACTATTCATCAGCTCCCAATCCCAAACAGTTTTAGAGACTTTCTTTGTCTTTGGTTTTTCCTCTTCTTTGTCTTCCTCCACCTTAGCATCATCATCTTCATCGTCTTTGTCCTCCTCATCTTTCTTTTCTGGTTCATCTTTTGTTGCTTCATCATCTTCAATTGGTTCTTCAACTTCTTCTGTCTGTTAAAAATAAGACTTTTCTATCAAATATAGCATTCTATGCAACCCTTCAAAACGCCAAAATTTAATTTAGTTTGAACTCCCCTTTAAAAGACAATGTTATAAAAAAACTCCTTATTTGATTGACGAGCATAGGTTCTTCCACCTTTTTCTCTGTCCACAAATCACTATGCAGAAAACTAGATTGTTCAACAGAAATTTTCAGGATGATTTACAGCTAGATGCAAGGTATATACTGTATATTAAGAAATTTTTGCATGCAAGATTTATTGTTGCAAATTCAGTAAATGATGTTATCAAAATTTAAAGTGAGAGTTCTTACTTTCGATATCTTCACAATAATAAAAAAAATTGCAAAACTTTCTGAATTTACAGTATGCGTTTGCCTGTTGTTGAACACAATATTTTATTCTCCAAAAGTTGTTTCTGGTGTTATTGAGTTTAAGGGATGCTGTCTGATTGTAGTCACCCCCACCCCATATTTCAAAAATCCACAAACCATAAATATATCTGTAAAAAAGATATCAAACTTGGCATCCATGAAGTGCATTAAATTGAAATGTCTATACTTTGCTAGCCCGACAAAAATATATAAATATTTATAGAACTTGACATCTACAAACTAGAGGCTCTAAAGAGCCTGTGTCGCTCACCTTGGTCTATGTGCATATTAAACAAAGGACACAGATGGATTCATGACAAAATTGTGTTTTGGTGATGGTGATGTGTTTGTAGATCTTACTTTACTGAACATTCTTGCTGCTTACAATTATCTCTATCTATAATGATCTTGGCCCAGTAGTTACAGTGGAAAATATTTTGTAAAAATTTACAAAAATTTATGAAAATTGTAAAAAATTGACTATAAAGGGCAATAACTCCTTAAGGGGTCAATTGACAATTTTGGTCATGTTGACTTATTTGTAGATCTTACTTTGCTGTACATTATTGCTGTTTACAGTTTATCTCTATCTATAATAATATTCAAGATAATAACCAAAAGCTGCAAAATTTCCTTAAAATTACCAATTCAGGGGCATCAACCCAACAACGTGTTGCCTGATTGGTCTGAAAATTTCAGGGCAGATAGATCTTGACCTAATGAACAATTTTACCCATGTCAGATTTGCTCTAAATGCTTTGGTTTCAGAGATATGAGCCAAAAACTGCATTTTACCCTATGAACTATTTTTTAGCCATGTCGGCCATCTTGGTTCGCAGGCGGGGTCATCGGACACATTTTTTAAACTAGATACCCTAATGATGATTGTGGACAAGTTTGGTTAAATTTGTCTTAGTAGTTTCAGAGGAGAAGATTTTTGTAAAAGATTACAAAAATTTACGAAAAATGGTTAAAAATTGATTATAAAGGGCAATAACTCCTTAAGGGGTCAACTGACCATTTTGGTCATGTTGACTTATTTGTAGATCTTACTTTGCTGAACATTATTGCTGTTTACAGTTTATCTCTTTCTATAATAATATTCAAGACAATAACCAAAAACGGCAAAATTTCCTTAAAATTACCAATTCAGGGGCAGCAACCCAACAACGGGTTTTCAGATTCATCTGAAAATTTCAGGGCAGATAGATCTTGACCTGATAAACAATTCTACCCCTGTCAGATTTGCTCTAAATGCTTTGGTTTCAGAGATATAAGCCAAAATCTACATTTTACCCCAATGTTCTATTTTTAGCCATGGCGGCCATCTTGGTTAGTTGGCCGGGTCACCGGACACATTTTTTAAACTAGATACCCTATTGATGATTATGATTGTGGACAAGTTTGGTCAAATTTGGCCCAGTAGTTTCAGAGGAGAAGATTTTTGTAAAAGTTTACGGACGACGGACGACGGACGCCAAGTGATGAGAAAAGCTCACTTGGCCCTTTGGGCCAGGTGAGCTAAAAACGGTCCTTATAGTGCATTCAATTGTAATAAGTCTCTATCTTGAAAGCCTAAAAAATATAAATTAAATTAAACTTGGGATCTACAAACAAAGGCACTTTAAGCACATTAAATGATAATAAGTCTTTACCTTGCTAGCCCAAATGTAAATATTGAAGTTGATAAACTGGCTGTACTTTTTGACGAGGTCTTTCAGTGTATTCTCTTCCAAGAAATCATGAGCTTCTTCTTTCAAGTGCAAACTATAATATAAAAGGAAAGTACAGTGATATTGTTGTCTTTTTTCAAAACTACCTCTACCGTTTTTTTTGGGGAAAAATGCATAATTTTTTTTGAAATTGGGAAGTTTGTTTATTTTTGTTTAACACATCTACAATTTTTGCTGAACTTTGCTGTCTTTTTTGCACAGTTTTTTCACATATATTTTGGTTGTCAGACATTTTCAACCTGAAAGGAACTTTTTGGGTAGGGGAAGGAAACAGAAACAATGATGGTACTTAATACATTGAAAACCATGTGTGTTACAAACACCGTGATGATTCTGATCAGAAACCCAGATCTCAATAAAATGCTCCGCAGGGCGCAGCTTGATACGACCGCAGAGGTCGAACCCTGAACAGTTGGGGGAAGTATGGACACAACATTCAAGCTTGATACAGCTTTGGATTTGGATTGTGATTAAATATTTGACACAGCATAGGTTTCTAACACAGATTGAATGTGGTCTAAGAACTTAAAAATTTTAAATTGGACATTCACCTATTATGGTCCAATATCCAAAATCTAAATACATGGTTAGATTCAGCATATCAAAGAACCCCAAGAATTCAATTTTTGATGAAATCAAACAAAGTTTAATTTTGGACCCTTTTGACCTCAATGTGGACAAAGTTGATAACGGGGCCCAAAAATCAAAAATCTAAATACATGGTTAGATTCAGCATATCAAAGAACCCCATATATTCAATTTTTGTTGAAATCAAACAAAGTTTAATTTTGGACCCTGATTTGGACCAACTTGAAAACTGGGCCCATAATCAAAAATCTAAATACATGTTTAGATTCAGCATATCAAAGAACCCTAAGAATTCAATTTTTGTTAAAATCAAACTAAGTTTAATTTTGGACCCTTTGGACCTTAATGGAGACCAATTTGAAAACGGAACCAAAAATTAAGAATCTAAATACACGGTTAGATTTGGCATATCAAAGAACCCCAATAATTCAATTTTTGATGAAATCATACAAAGTTTAATTTTGAACCCTTTTGACCTCAATGTGGACAAAGTTGATAACGGGGCCCAAAAATCAAAAATCTAAATACATGGATAGATTCAGCATATCAAAGAACCCCATATATTCAATTTTTGTTGAAATCAAACAAAGTTTAATTTTGGACCCCGATTTGGACCAACTTGAAAACTGGGCCCATAATCAAAAATCTAAATACATGTTTAGATTCAGCATATCAAAGAACCCTAAGAATTCAATTTTTGTTAAAATCAAACTAAGTTTAATTTTGGACCCTTTGGACCTTAATGTAGACCAATTTGAAAACGGAACCAAAATTTAAGAATCTAAATACACAGTTAGATTCGGCATATCAAAGAACCCCAATAATTCAATTTTTGATGAAATCAAACAAAGTTTAATTTTGGACCCTTTGGACCTCAATGTGGACCAATTTAAAAACGGGGCCCAAAATCCAAAAACTAAATACACGGTTAGATTCAGCATATTAAAGAACCCCATGAAATCAAGAATAAAACCCCATTGAAATTGGTCAAGAAATAAGCAATTTATAGGAAGTATCTTCTTTTGCACAATCCTGTGCTATTAAATATTTCTTGCTATTGCGCAATACTGTACAATTGACAATTTCTTGCTATTGCGCAATATTGTGCTATTGGATATTTCTTGCTATTGCGCAATACTGTGCAATTGAAGATTTCTTGCTATTGCGCAATACTGTGCAATTGAAGATTTCTTGCTATTGCGCAATACTGTGCAATTGAAGATTTCTTGCTATTGTGCAATAATGTGCAATTGAAAATTTCTTGCTATTGCACAATACTTATTATATAATAATTTACACATCCTGTTTGGTGTGTATCTCCTACCATATCATTGTTATTTGATTTTAAATATAAATCAGAAATAACCAACTTAAAATGGAAAATTTTAAAAGAAACAAAAAAGGAAAAAAAGAAAAAAAAGGAAAAAAAATAAATCCCCCCCCAAAATGTTTTGAACCCCCATTATGATTCATCACCCCCAAACTCAATCCCAGCCTTCCCTTTGTGGTATGGTACCTTGCAGTACAATTTCAGAGAGATCCATACACTTGAACACAAGTTATTGTCTGGAAACTAGAAAAAAATGTGTTTTTTTAACCCTTTTTGGCCCCAAATTCCTAAATGTTTAGGGCAATTACCCCCAAACTCAAACCCAGCTTTCCCTTTGTGATATGGAACCTTGTAGTACAATTTCAGAAAGATCCATAAACTTACACACAAGTTATTGTCATGAAACTAGAAAAATGCTTGTTTTTTGCCCCTTTTTTGGCCCCTAATTCCTAAAATTTGGAGGCAATTACCCCCAAAATCAATCCCAGCATTCCTTTAGTGATATGGAACCTTGTGGTACAATGTCAGAGAGATCCATACACTAAGACACAAGTTATGTCTGGAAGTTACAAAAATGCTTATTTTTGGCCCCTAATTCCTTTACTGTTATTACCATAACCCCCAAAATCAATCCCAACCTTCCTTTTGTGGTATTGAACCTTGTGGTAAAATTTCATAAGGATCCATTCACTTAAACTAAAGTTAGAGTTTGAAAACCAATGTGTCTTCGGACGACGCCGACGACGACGCCAACGTCATACCAATATACGACCACAAAAATTTTTTTGCGGTCGTATAAAAACGCTTTCATAATATTTAAATAACACAATACGAAATTTACATACATTACTACCCATGCCATCACTGTTTGGGGAAAATGTAAAACATATTGGGAGGAATTTTATGCCATTTTTTTTTTAGTAATTGGGAATTTTTCTCTAGGGGAAAAATCCGAATTTCGGAAGTAATTTGAGGCAAACAATATCACTGAAGTAAAAGATAAAAATATAGCATGGAAATAAATACAATCATATATAATGATTTTCAACAAGACTTACTTAGATTGGAACTTTTTTTTTACATTAAAAACATATTTAGATTTTGAAATAACATTCAGATTTAAAGCAGTATTAAAGAAGTGGATAATATACAATAATTGTACAATATATACCAACCTGATTTGAGTTCCTCTACCAAGTGTGTTTCCTCTAGGATCTTTACTCACACTGAAGGCCTCAGAATCAGACTCCCAGACATGTTGTTCGTCATCGTTGTGTTTCGATGTTACAATTATTCTGTCAGATACTGAAACAGAAGTATACAATTTACATACTCTCTAAACAATTCAGTAAAGTGCGATTTTTACCATACAGTGCCAGCATAATTAAAAAAATATTAAAACTTTGTCATAAAAGTATGTAAAATTCATAATTAACAGCATAAATATATATCAAACTTGTAAAATCTTATTAATTGTAGTGAATTTAAACTGCACATTGCTAACATGATGGATTCAGGATTTTCTACTGTTATGTGTCGTGGCTATTAAATTCAATCCTTTACTGTAATCCAACTCATTTTTGGGTTACTTTTTGCATTCAGTCCTTTTATTACCAATTTTGCTGCAAATTATTTTAACAATTTTCTTGGTGTATTTATAAGAGAAAAGATCCAAGATTGACACATTCACAACAATTTGCATTTACATTATTTATTATGTAATCATGAAAATAAATAGTTCACAAAAATTAGTTGGATTACAGTTACTGTATTTGTCATGTTGGCAGGCCATGAAATTTGTTATGGTAGGTTGAAAACGCTACCATGAAATAAACATAATCAGTGTAAACTGCTATAATATATAGCGGCAACTTCCAAATCCTCAATGTAATATATTTTCATACGAGTCTAGAATTCAAAGTTGCACTTACCCAAGAATGATGAGTAGAAACCAACACCAAACTGTCCAATCAAATCTGTCATTTCTGTTGTTGATGAAGCCTCTCCCAATTTAGACATGAATTCACTAGTACCAGATTTTGCTATGGTTCCAAGATTGTTCACCAAGTCGTTTTTGGTCATACCTATTCCTGTATCTATTACATGGAGAACATGATTGTCTCGATCAGCCTATGAAACAGAAATATCTTGTTAATAATATATATTATATATACTGTACTATTAATATTATCAATGTTCATGCTACAATGTTATTATTCATGTCTGATACTGGAACCTTTGGGCGAGGTAAAGATAGTTCTCTAGAATAATCATTTCCCTTCACCTAAAGGAATTAAAAAATCTACAGAATTTTGTTCTCAAAATATAGGTAACACAACTTTCAATACAAAACTGAGGATTTATCCCTGGGAATGTTGAATTGAACAGTCAGGGGACTTACTTAAATGAGTGATTTTCTAAATCACTGCTTCAAGTAACATTATGTCCATAAAGGTTGGAAGTAAGAGTTGTCTTTCTTTAATAATCACCTATTTAAGTAGTACAAATTAATCACTAGACTAAGTGATTTAATTTTATTGTAGCTTTCAGTGTTCTCCCCAGGATTTTTTTAAGGCGCAAAATTCAAGGGCCCGTAACTCTTTTTTAGAGTGAACGTTTGTGATCTGAAGCAATAAGTCGTAAATCATGACATGCAATATGAATTATAATGCTTTGTGTTATGTGTTTAATAATGCAGAGTATTAATGAATTACAAGAATATATATATGAAATAAATTGATTTTAAACACAAAAGTTATTTATATTCAGTCAATTAAAGAAGTCAAAATATAAATATTCATCTCTACTCTCTGCTCCTTCTAGGGATTGATTGATTGATTGTTGGTTGCTTAACGTCCAGTGGCAAATATTTCATGCATATTCAGGACGAGAACAAGTTCACAATAAATACAATAGGTAGGTTCTGTAATAGGGGCTTCCGGGATTAAGGTCGGAGAAATTTAGACTGCCACGGGAAATGAGGATATATTGGATAGGGACAGAAATTTAGCCTTGCAACAGGTCACCTACGGACCCCTCAAAGAGTTGTTGCAAAGGTTCTTAACGTGCAAAGAGCGTGGCACTCTCTTTACACGAGGCATCGGATTTAACGTCCCCATTCTGACCGGACGTGGCTGCAAATTTGTACATCCCGCACAGCCAAACGGACGCCCCACTTTAGCACGGGTTTTACTGCCGGTCGGAGGAAGACCAATGGTGACCATACTTCTATTCCCCAGTCACCCTTGGGGGACCTTCTAGGGATATTGTTTCAAGATAGTGTTATTTTGTTGGACAGTCTGTTCCCCAACTTTGTCTTTATCCTCTTCAGGGTTAAAAATTAAACCCCCACTCACAATAACTTTTGCTTATACCCCCTTTAACATTTCTAAGCCATGAAAACTCAGTCAGCCACTTGTCATTGAAACCAGAAACATGGTGCTTGCTTTTATCAATTGTTAAAACTTGAGCTTGGTTAAGATTAGGAGAAGCAATGCAATCTGCTTATACTGACAGTGTAGACGGAGGTGTATTCCACTTTTCATTAGAAGTCATTGGTGTGAAAAAAAACTTCTACTTCCATCTTCTACCTTTTGCTTATAATTCACCCCTTTGTTATTTGCAGAGAACATGTTCATTCAGAATTAATAAAATCGAATATGGTTAAGATATTTGGTATACAACTTTTTAAAACAATTTTTTTTTATAAATGAACAGCTGACCAGTTTCCCGGCGTAGTTTCACATTACGCTTCCGTGCGTATTATTGTTTAATCCTATCTTTGGCAGATAGATATAAACGAAACTTTACAAATTCGTTAAAGTTAAAACCATTGAAATTATTTACCAGTGACATTATACAGAAGCTGCGGCGATTCTGTACCCGTGTTGATCGTCACATATTTCCCGACGCACGGATTCACGATCGATGTTCAATGATCATTTTATTTCTAAAAATATGACAGTTTCAGACGAATTTACCTTGCAAGCAACATTTTTTCACTTTCTATTAAAGTAAATCACTCCTCGTTATCTTTAATCAAACTTTATTTTAATTTTTTCAACTACTAATACTTTCATTCATAGTTTTCATCGTAAATATCTTTAGCAATGTGTATTCAAATTTATCATGTGTATTCAACACGTTCATTGGTCGTGTTTAAATAGATTCTTCTTCTCGACCAATGAAAAAATTCGTTATATAAATGGTCAAGTGATCACACACACGATGCGTAAATACAATGTATTTGCGATCTATTTCTTCAATTTCTGCACTGAAGTTTTTAAAAATTTTAATTTTCTTCAAAAATATCTATCTTGATGATCATTTACGCTATTACCTGATAACATAGTCCGATAAGGCTGAGATAAGCGTTGCTCAGGTAAAACTAATTATCAGTTATTGCGTAACACTGACCGACCCATCAGCGGTGATCAGTAACTTGACAATTTTAACCAACATTTATAATGCAAATGTGAAAATTAACACGCTGCGGGATCAAGTATCAAGGGACAGCGGCCAATTAAGACGCTGCGGGATCTACAAAAATATTATGAAGGCGCTGCGGCACCGCAGCGTCATATCGGCCTGGGGAGAACACTGGCTTTAAATACAGAATACTAATGATCCAGGGACTAATTATGTTGCTAAAATTATCAGAACCAACATCTGTGTTGATAGGATGACCGGGTTATGTCAGGTGAACTAAATCTAGGATAATGACATAAAAATCACTTGTTTAAGTATCATACATCAATTTCCTTCCAAAAAATCACTTCTTTAAGTATCATTATTTTAATAACCCCACTAATTTCAACACCCTCGATCAGTGAAATTTTGATTGAGAACAGTAGAATTTTATTACATAATCCATAAGATGAAACCTTGAATTTTACAGGAAAAATACTCCCACTGCTGGGAAAAATCTGTAAAGAAAGTATCAGTTCATTATGTAAAGCCATTTTTATAGCATTTTTTCAACTAAAATAGAATTTGCAGCTAAATGATTGCATCAAAGGCTTAAACCTTGCTGCTTAAAAGAAGCAAAAAGTTCATTTTTTCAATTTTACTAATGAAAAGATATTATCTAAACCTATGTGTTTAAAATTTTGGTAAAACTACAAAATCACGATTTGTGGCAAAACTTCAAATTTGCTACTTAAATAAGTGATTTAAAAATCACTTATTTCAATAAGTCCCCTGACTGAAATAAGGTTTTTTTTGACAAGTACAAATTTTCAGAATTTCTAGAACATTGTATAGAGTTCAGGATTTGTTAATCAAGTAGTACATGGGGGTTAAACGTGGCAAATTTTTGTACTTTTTTCTGTCATCAACTATATGAATATGATCTACACTTCATTCAAATCTATTTTAAGTGTTTAGGACTCATGTTTTAGTTTCTTTACAATTAATATTTGTACTTTTTCTTCATTTTGGGAAAGAAGATTTCCATTCTTAAAACAGTTCCTTAAGTCAAGCATATATAAATATTGAAAACAAATCTTATCTTTCATGCAAATAAGTATTCTCAAAACAATCTAAAAATAAACTGCTTTATGTTTTATTTGATTGATCCCACAAGACATGAAACAATCACTAATGTACATTATAGCATGATAGCTACAGATACATATTTCTTAGGCCATACAAAATATTTTTCTAGCTGCCATTTTTCATTTTATCAAAAGATGGGGGATAGCATTAGCTTTGCACATATTTGAAGTCACAGTCATTCCTGTGTAGGGGTTTTATATTGTATACTCTTGTGTTAAAGTTGAACAAAATTTGGTTCTTTGCTGATATTTTTCAATCAGTTTTGAGAGATAGGCATAAACAGGATTCAGCATCATATTGCGCCTTATATTTGGCCTGTATTGCTTAAAAATAGTAAACTGTAGCTCTGTTTGGATTTAATTTGTTCTTTTCTTATACAAAAGTGTGTTCTAAAATATTAGGCTTCTTTTTTAAATTTCTTACGAATACAAATGGCAATTACAGTAAAACTAAAGTATATTTTATCGAGTTTGATCTTCCAAAGAAAAAGAAAGAAGATAAGTGTCATTTTGTTTGGATTCTATGTTTCTTACCTTGATCTTAATACTGAATTCATCAGTATGCCGCAAAGCTTCTTTATCTGTTAATGATACAAATCTAATTTTGTCTAAAGCATCAGAGGCATTGGAAATCAACTCTCTCAAGAAAATCTGAAAAACAAAATAAAAAAACTCATAAATTAAAAAAAAAATTGAGTATGGTTCGTGTAAATATGCTGTCATTTATGCAATCGTTTCAGCTGTTGAGTTTCTTTGCATGCATGCACTTTGAATATGTTTACAGGATACTTCTTTATGCAAGCACAAAGAATGCTTCTCAATTTTTTACTCCCCACTTTTATTTTCATTAGCTATGAGAGTTAGTAACGTAAGAGCTTGTTCTACCGTCCCCTCTAAAATAAATTTGCCCTTTTTAAGAAAATGTGGCCATGAACAGGCATCTACTGTTAAGTTTCACATGTCCACCAGATGTTTACTTGTTTTGGAAATGGAAAGTCACATGTATATTCTAAGTTTGTAATTCTGCTGGAACAGGTCTTCCATATTTCTAGATTGATTGATTGTTGGTGCATAATGCCACTTTCAGCACTATTTGCAATATTGTGGTGGTCAGTTTTTATTAGTGAAGGAAGCAGGAGTGCCCAGAGCGAACCACCAATCTTCAGTGGAAAAATAACAATCCTAGTCAATTAAGATTGTAGTTAAACATGCCGGGTTCGAACTCACAACCTCAGTTTTGTCAGGCTAGTGATACACGTTGACAACTAGGCCATCGAGGCCCTTCAATTTCTTTAGAGAAAGTTTCAATGTACAAAAATATAATTTACCTCCTTATTCTTGTACAAAGAGTTGATAATCAGTTTCATCATTCTATTGACTTCAGCTTGGAACACATGTTTCTCAGCCTTGTCTCGCATTTCTTTCATCTGTGCTACATTCAATCCATCCAACTTTATAGCTTCCTCCTCTCTGCAAACAAAAATTAAAAGTAGTGAAAATAACAATTACAAGAATTTTATGAATTTTAAAAAAAGAAGTTAGTCAATCATACTATACAAAAGGTTTAATCAAAATGATGATGGTAGGTAAAATGATATTTAAACACGCTTTTATTTTGATTTTGGCTGCAAAATATGGGACCATATTTTTGTTTCCCAGACACTTGGACAAGTGAGTTGCCAATATTTGTTTGTCCATTGAAGCATAATTGGCAGACTTGTACAGGTCTGGCTCTTTCAGCTTAGTCGGTTGGTCATTTTTTTCATGATCAAATTCATGATTTGTCTATAAATTTAATCAACTGTTGTCAAGTATGCAGGCTACATTTACCTTTTAATCAAACAAGATACTTTCTGTTGGCCTGAAGAAACTTTGGGCTTATATGGTGTGAAAAGGGGTAGGGCAATTGAGTGGAGGAGGAGTAGAAAATTAAAGAACAAAATTATTTGATAAAATATTTGAAAAGTGAAATTACTAAAAAGCAAAAATTGGCCTCTTGCAAGTTGCAATAGAAACAAGGACTTGTGTTTATTCTCAATCTGTTCTGATTGTAGGCTTTTTTCTGGAGTTTCTTATATTTGATAAAAACATGCAAATATTTTTTCTATCACTGGATTTTGGCAAAGTCATCAGACAAAATATCTTAATAATTGCTTTACAGACACATTCAAGACATGTGTATATCATTCACATCATTTTGTTCTGATAGCTGCATTATCTGCAATACTAATCTTCAATAATCCATCTTTTAATAATTAACTATCTCTATCAACTATGACCATCTATCTAATATGTTGATGGCCAAATTTTATAACGATTTAATTAAACGACCAGTCAATGACAAGTGGTCAGAAAAAAAGTTTGTCTACATCCTACATAATACCAAACAGATGCAAAGTACAAAGTCTTTATCATTAGTGTTATCTGGTACTAATTATGCTAATTATCAATCAACTGAAGTATCTGATGGAGACAAAATATTTTTTCACCTAGAAATCAGACTATCTACCCTATCTGATCAAGACTGAAATCAACACTGTGGATTAGGATTAATGGATTATCATTATCCTTTCTCTAATACCCCTAATCAATAAAATGATGTAACAACTTTTGACAGCATTGTAAACTCTCAGAGATTTTCTTACATTCCTGATTATAAATAAAATATAATATCTTCCCTTAGGTTGATTTTATCTGAAAGTTCTGTGTACTTATCGGATAAACAATGTATTGATACAGATCTGCAAAAGTCTTATCTTCAGTAAATAGCTAGCTGTAAAGTGTATCAATATAAACCACTTATAAAACAATATAAATCATATCATTTTCAATTATCATGCTTACTGCATTAAATGCACATCGTAGTATGCATAAATTGATTTAGAAATCCTATTTCTTCATGTTCTCTAAAAAAAGTCAATGAAACTTTTGTGTTTATGTTCTTAAAATCAGTGCAACAAAGCATAACCTGGTGCTATGTACTCGGGTAACAGGTTCCCTTATTAAGCCTGGATATTTATGCTTACACATGTAACTGCAACATATTCAAATCAACACACATGAAGGCCTGAGATGAACCACACACGTTTTTTTCCCTAAACTTTAAAGATTGGATTTTTATACTTTTTTAACTTTATATAATTAATGTTATATTGTTGCTATGTCTGGTAATTAAAACTCCCATTTCACAACAGCTTAATTGTGTAACATATAAGTTATCTGCATTTTAGTTTCAAATCAAGGAATTCAATAATTAAAGACTTCGTATCTGTTCCCCATCAGATATCTGTTAACAATTGCAAATTCTCAAATTTTAATTGAGGGTTTTTTCAAAACTAAATTTTACTTGATGCAAGTCTAATTTATTTACTTTCTTCAAGTATATTTATTTTAACTATTGAAACTGGATCTATAAATTTTAACCATTACACATGATACATGTATTTACATATCATAGACAACATCATTTTGGCAAAGATAACCTTTGACATTATAATAAGTGCAGCTAAATGCTCCAAACTTCTATTTATAATCATCACCTTGTGGTTGGTTCCCTTTATGTTTATAAATAATTCCACAAAAATATCTCATCAATACTACGCACCACTTGTGTGTGAAATATAAGAAAAATGTTCTGTTTTTATTATTGTAACAATTTCTGCGATGGAAGTAGCAGTTTATTATAGATACGTAATAAGTTACTAACATCAACACTTGGCAATGGATGGGAAAAGATGATAATTTATCATAGCATCTAATTCACTCTTCAGAGATCTATGCAGATACTGTTATGATATAAAGAATATTTGTCAACGTCAGTCTTAATTACATATGTTTTGTATTTCTGATATTGCTATTAAAAAATAATTCTTTAATATGATAAATAGCAAACAGCTTCAAAGTTCTGTCAAAAGAGATTGTGTGAAAAGGCATTGTATGATATGCATATGTTTAGGCCTTCAACTATATAACCAAATGATAAAAAGAAATTCAGTTTCTGTGATGATTTTTTTATTTCAGGAAGGTCAAAAGGAGTTGAGGTACTTTTTGTAAGCTGGTAGTTTTTAAATCCCTTACATTCAATTCACAAGATATATGATACTTTTGCTTTCAAAATCATAGTGTGGATTTCAATTTCCATTTGCCACTGGGAGTGAAGGAAACAAAAATCAATCAATTTCCATTTTTCATTCAGTTGCTAATAATTCATTCCTTGTAATGCTTACTTTACTGAAAATTACGACTCACTATATCAATATTGAAATTATCAATTTCTGTTCAATTATTACAATATGCTAAACTTATTTATATACAAATGTACTGACAATTATCCAAAGGTAAAATTAGTTCTTACAAATTAGCTTTATGATTGATGCCAATTAGAAAAGTTCAACAGATATGGTCTTACTGGTATACATAAACATTGTATTGATGTGACTGTTTTCTAATCAACAACTAAACAGCACAGTAGATACACTATGAAATTATGCTTAATTATGCTTAGTCAAGATTCAGAATTCCTATATACTTTTATTCACAATTTGACCTTCCATTTATTTTGATTTGAGAGAGTGCCACTGAGTCTCTTTAATGAGTTTTTTCCTTCAAAATCTGATATGACTACTTCATTGTATGTAGTGGTTTTATATCATGTATATAAAAAAAGTAAAAAAATATGTAGTGGTTTTATATCATGTATATAAAAAAAGTAAAAAAAAAAAGAAGATTTGAGTCAGCTACATTAGTCCATGGGACACAGATGATGCCCCCACTTGCATATAACATTATAAAAGGACATAACTAGAGAACTGTAAAAGTGATGCCAACCAAACTCAAACTTCATCTGTGCTTTATGGTAATAAGCATTGTGTAAAACCATTTGGTTGAGGCAAACTAAAGTTAGAGAATGGAAACCAATTTCTGAATGTACGGACGGACAACGGTAAACCATAATGCCTTCCCCCCTTACGGCGGGGGCATAAACACTTTGTTTAAGCAATCTGAAGTGTAAGAGGAAAACCAAGGTCTACACCAGATCAGAGCTAATCACCAGTCTAGCATTCAGCACTCCTGTCAAATGCCTGTGCTAACATGAAATATAATTGATTCATCATTTTGTTATAAATTTATATGTACCATGTGTACTGTTCAAATTTACTGTTCATATATATATATATATATGTACAATCGTACCAAGAAATTTGTTTTGCATGCAAACGTATAAAAATTGCGGTTTTTATCCAAGGCAATCATAGGTTTGAACGTTGTTTTCAATTCAGACTTGTATATATATATATATATATATATCTTAATAAAATAATACAAAGGACAGTCTAAGGTTTTCAATCCGCCTGCCGAGACTGCCTTTATATTCATGTTTGGTACATTTATGTTGGAATTTTTGGTTTTCAATGCTTTTCATGATCATCTTCCTAAAAGACGTTATATTCCAACAGTCATCACTGTCTTAATTTCTACCGTACTGACAAGCCTTGTGTCTTTTGCTCATCTTGCACACTTAATTGTAAGCCTGGCATCTTCAACAAGTTTTCCCATTCAACTATAAGTTAAGATTTAAAGTAAAAGAAAATAATCTAGAGAAAATATTTGGACATATAGATTGTCTTTAAAATACAAATTGAGAATCTAAGAAGGATATGTTATAAATCATGTCAGTACCAAATAAAACTGACTACTGAGATGATGATACCCTCAGGGACTTACATGTACAGTCCACCAATAGCAGTATGGACCCAGTGGTGGAAAATGACAAAAACAAGTACACTTGAAGCACTTTATTGGATTTTTCATCAGGAACAGTCAATCCTAAAAATTTGAGAGGGTTACTTTGTAAATACTTGAATATATGATAAAGAGCTACATAACCAGAATGGACATAAAGTGATTTGCCAACTCGATTTAAGGTTAACTTTGACTGAGGGACTAGGAGTTGCAACCAAAATTTCTTCAACATTTGAAAATTTATCAATTTTAAAAAAGGTTCTTTATAAATCATGTTGGTACTTAAGCACCGACTTCTATGCTGATAATACACCATGGGACTAGCAGTCCCACAGAAGTATCAACCAGGCAGGTAAAAAAAAAAAAAACTAGAAAATACATAACAAATTTAAATGAGAATAACAGTGGTTCCCAAGGCTTTGAGAAATTAGCTGGATATTTGGTCCAGTGAAGCATTCTTCTTAACTGGACCAGACTATTTTTATAGGACTTTTACACATATGATTTGGACAAAATTTAAAATTTTATTGGTCATTTTATTCCAGTAATGCATATCACTTAACCATGTTAACTGGACTAATCCAATATTTAATGGACTTTGCGCAATGTTCATTTATAAATAAAATAGATTTAATTATCTACCATGAAATGAATAGATATCATAATTTTTGGGGACAATGTCTTTAAAATAAAAACGAATTGCTTCTCTCTTTGTTGTTGTGCTAGACTTTAGCATTAGGACCAAGTCCTAGACTTGGGGGTGGGTCATCAACATTTTCCCGTCCTGCATGTATGTATGAATAAATTCTTACAGATTTAAAGCTTATTAAATTATTTTTGAAGACTATGACATGGTTCTCAATAAGGATTTTTGAAGGCGGGTCAAGGGACTTATAATTTTAACCATGGTGAGTCCAAAATTGAGATGAAATATAAATGATATACAAAATTATTATTACCGGCTACCACATGACATAATAGAGCAAGGAAATGACACCAAATTTAGATTATTTCAAACTTTTGCTTTTAAATGATCATGATGATATATATACGTGATCAGTTTGTACAACATTTTACAATCTTCATGTATCTTTGGACTCAATCAGTTTTGAAAGTGAATAGTCCTAACAGATTTTCACAAGTCCTGGTCTCATATACACACCTTGGTGAGAACCAAACTATGGTTATTAGTGCATTGTATTGCTCTTTTACCTTTGAACAACTTCATCATCAGTCTTGGATCCTTGTCTACTTTTTCCAATGTCTTCATCAACGCTAGCTTCTTGTTCATCATGTTTGTTCTCTGCCAAACATAATCCTGAAACAAAATAGAAGCATCCAATATAATATTTACATCATGACACTAATATTCAAGATAAACTGTAATATTCTTTATAGTTCATGAAATATATTACCATTTCCATAGGTTATTAGAACAGACAAGTTCAGACAGTCTTGTCCTTTTGGTTGCAATAATTATGCATTGGTTAATCAGTCTCATTACACACACGTAAAACATGTAAAAGAGAACATGCTGTCAAGGTTCCTTTACCTTTAATACATGTATGTCTCTTTCTGAACAAAAAAAAACTGAAATACAGTAACAGACATTCATTTCAACTCTTATTGGCCAATTTTTTTTTTACCAATTCACATTTCAGACATTAGTTACTGTACCCCTTGAAAATGGAAAAATAAACAAAAATCTAATATCTTGAATTAGTGTTTCCTGCATGAGGTTTTAGTGTGGTATAGCGCCCTGCCGTGTATTCATGACACCCTGCCCTTTTTCGGAAAATATTTTGGCCCCATGCCCTTTTCCGTGGTATTTTAGAACGCCCTGCCGTAATTTGATATCGGTTTTGCAATTCATCTTTTAGCAAGACCATTTCGAGTTATTTCCCTTGGAATGAAATCAAAATTTTAATGGCCGACATTTTATTGAATTTCGTTATTATGTTTAAACAGTTTTGAAGTGACAGAGTACAAATACAATTCATGATTGAATCTAATAGGGACAACATCAATTTGTACCTCTATGAATTTAAAATGTAGACAATTTAAAAGGGAACTAGGCGACAATTTGAGTTATAATTTTACGATGTATGGGATGAACATTACCACTGATTACATAAACAATATGATGTTTGTTTATATTTTCTATTTATATTTTACTGATATCGATATAATCTGTGTGATAGATCCTAGTAGTGAGGTTTCAATAAACGTGTTTATACTTTTGGTATTTAGCTGAATTTTGTCTTCGAATGACCTTAGATCTGCTTTGAATTACCTTCTGACGTCAAACAACAATCACTTTTTAATTCTGACCTAAAATTTTTAAAATTGTGATGTCAAATTTCACGAGAAGTTTTGTGATTTTAAGTAATGGCAGACAAATTTGCATACAAGTGTAAATACATCTATTGCACTAGGGTGATACAAAAATAGATATGTTGTCTTTATGCTTTCCTATCATTTTGCATATTTTGATCATTTATCTTTAACTTTAAAGCTTATGTCAGGTAAAACAAATAAACAACAAGTTAAAATTGTTTTAATTGCTGATTTACTTCATTCTTTAAAGCTTCTTAATTATTGCACTTGCAAGAGGATTGGCATATGACCATAAACTTGTAAATAAACTTGTTAAACAATTGGAATGAAAACATCATTCAAAATACATATTGCGTTTTCAGTTCATTGTGAGGTTGTTTCAAATATTGAGAGATTTATGAGAAAAAGGGTTGAGTTCTGTCAAATGGATTTTGTTTAAAGTTCTGATTACTCCATATTGTATAGTATAAGTATACATGAGACACATAACTAGTACACATCTTAGTATGGTGTTGGAGAAGTTGTATTGTAGGAATGAATAAATAGTAAACCTTCTGTAAATCTCCGTTTTAAATTAATGACAAATGTCTCCTCCCTTCCCTCAGGAGAGACACAAACACAGTCACACAACACAAAAAGCCCTAGCTGACACAAATGATTCATTAAAGGTTCTACTTCAACTAATGCATAAAACAAAAATGCATTCTCTGACAACTTATAACTTTGTTTTTGTTTGGATATCGTAGTGGTGTAGTCTTTTAATAATCAGAATTCAATTGATTGATTGATTGTTGGTTGCTTAACGTCCAGTGGAAAATATTTCATGCATATTCAGGACGAGAACAAATTAACAATAAATACAATAGGAAGGTTCTGTAAGAGGGGCGTCCGGGATTAAGGTCGGAGAAATTTAGACTGCCACAGGAAATGAGGGTATATTGGATAGGGACAGAAATTTAGCCTTGCAACAGGTCACCTACGGACCCCTCAGAGAGTTGTTGCAAAGGTTCTTAACGTGCAAAGAGCGTGGCACTCTCTTGACACGAGGCATCGGATTTAACGTCCCCATTATGACCGGACGTGGCTGCAAATTTGTACATCCCACACAGCCAAAAGGACGCCCCACTCTGGCGAGGGTTTTACCGCCAGTCGGAGGAAGACCAATGGTGACCATACTTCTATTCCCCAGTCACCCTTGGGGGATCAGAATTCAAAGTATTCCGACTATCCAAACAGTTTAATGAAACAAAGATTAACATTGCCATTAGGATGTGAGAAGATGAAACAATTACTGTTGTCATACTCGAAAGGCCTGTTACGAATGGTTCCAACAAAAGAAATAGTCGTGTTTTGTAGATACATAATGTAGATTTACAACATAAAAAGTTTCAGGGGATAGACAACTGTAGAATCAAAATATAATGGAAGTTTGCGACCAGATGACATTTCTTAAATATATGAGTAAGGTACCTTCTTCTTGTTACAGGTAAGCGGCCACCATCAACTATTGACTATTCTGCCCCATTTTTTGAGTGAGCACATGAACAATCATGATTATTTAATAAACAATAAGGGGTGCTATGTACATGTATATATATTTACAAGAGCAATATAAATAAATGGGGAATGTGTCCATGGGACACAGATGATGCCCCTGCTTGCATATCATATAAAGTTATAAAGGGACATAACTGAAGAGCAGTAAAAGTGACACTACCAAAATTTGTACTTGATTTGAGTTTTGTGGTAATAAGTAGTGAGTATAAGTCTCATAACATTTGGTTGAGGCTAACTTCAGTAGAGAACAGAAACGAAAAATTCAGCAATTTTTCCATTTGTAAACAGGCATAATTCTAGAAAAGTAAAAGTGACACCACCAAAATTCAAACTTGATCTGTATTTTGTGGTAATTAGCATATTGTATAAGTTTTATAACATTTGGTTGAGGCAAACTAAACTTTGAGAACAGAAACCAAAAATTTAGTAATTTTTATGTTTATAACTCAAGAAAGGTACAAGTGATGCCACCCAATTTCATACTTGAACTATAGTATGTGGTAATAAGCATTGTGTATAAGTTTCATAACATTTGGTTGAGGCAAACTAAAGTTAGAGAACGAAAACCAACTTTGGAACGTACAGACAGACGGACAAGGGTAAAGCTTAATACCCCCTCCGCTACAGGGGGCATAAAAACATGTCATTTAAATTTGATGACAGAGCTGAGCCTAGAACAATTCACGACTCAAGGCAGAGACAGTACAGGTCAAGGTGGTCCCCTCAAGTATGTACATGTAGGTAATTTTTTCAGAGACAAATGCCTGTGTAGCAATAGCAGAATTAGCTGTGGAACTGTTGCTCATAGATGATATTTGCTAAAATTTGCGGATATGGTCTGCAATTTGTCAAAAAATATCATAAATACCTATGAGCTACAAATTATTCCGTAGCTATAAGTTATAACAGAACAAGTTAATAAGGTCTATGAGCTCAACATGAACCAGCATTGACATAGGACCTAACAGCTACAATTCCAGTTTGCTAGTGGGAACTCAGCATACATTTTTTTTGTAGTTAACATATCAAAAGAAATACACAAAATGTTCCAGTAGCAAGAATTATTTCCTTGTAAGCTGTGTAATTTTTTCTATGAGAAGTGCACGCAGAACGTCTTGGACATGTCATTATTTCATAATTATTCGATAAGGCAGGAACATATATATTGATACTGTTCCCAGGATAAGGTTAATTAAAAGATAACAAAAAAAAAATCAAATAAATGACACCGAAGATACCCCAAACCTCTGTTTCTCTTTTTATGGAAGCCGACAAAAACATGAGATTGTGCCGGTATCGGTGAAATGCACTGTAAATGCTTACCACTGATAAACAGAACTCCAATAAGCGCCAAGTAGAATGTTTTCCACCTCATACTTTTGCTTTTGGTTGATGACTTTACTCAGATTGATGCACTGTTGTAAAATTTTAAACTTTTTCAATCTAAAACATGTGAAGTAATATTCGCCTCGTCTGTCCGTCAGATTGTTCTTGGGATTCCCTTTTGGGAAAATGAACCAATCAACTTTCACCACGACCTTGGAAGAAACCAATCAAAACTTCACAAGTAAAGACGGACTACTCCAAACTTGGCCGGCTGTGATTGGTTGTCAAATATTTATACAAAAACAGGGCCGTATTCTTCCGTATCGACACTTCCGTTTCCGGAATATTTTAGTTTACATGCAGTCTTGGTGATCAACACCGAAGAAAAATCCTTTGATGTAAACTTCATGAAAGCTTTGTAAGAAAAGAATAAGTGAGAACCCCTAAACTTGTGTGATTTGTATTTGATATATGTCATAATTTTAATTCCTACAGGAAGAAAATGCTGTTGAATCAGTAAAACACTCTATTTTAGTATTTACTTACTTGTTGATACAACTGTACGTACAACAATAAAAAGTCAAAATATAGTCAGAATACAATATAAAATTTCTTGACGCTATAATTTTACAGCAGAAAATAGGGATAAGTTATATTTTAGTCATTACAAACTCATACAGATTCAAATTCAGATTCTTTATTAAGATAACTATAATAGTACATTAGTGTTCTCCATTACAAATCATATGACAATATACAAAACAACATTTCAAAGTTTTACATGTAGTATATATGTTTATAAATACAGTAATGCCCATAATTTTAAGAATTGTTTCTTATTTCTAATGCATCTCTAATAAATTTGTATAAATAATTACATTCAGTAATATTTTGTCAATTTAAAAGTTTAGAAACTGAAAAATAATTATTATGTGAATCTGTCAAATCTAAACCATAAGATTGGAAAAAAAGTTTGCCTTATATCTTTATATTTATCACAAGATATCAAAAAATGTTCTTCTGTCACTACTTCAGTGCAAAATTTTCAAAAACGTTGTTCTCTTGGAATTTTGGGTTTATTATATCTACCCCGTTCTATATTTAAACAATGAGCACTGATACATGTACATAGTTGTGTAATTTTACTTTTTATATTTTTGGTAAGATTGGTTTGAAGATAAAAGGGACCAAATTTTGGAACAAAAATATTACTGAAAAACATCAGTTTACTGTCCACAGCATATCATTGTCATTTTTTTTGGCAAATATATATTTGCAGAGCAAACTGATTTTCCTGTTGGACCTTTGTTTCACTTTTCTAGCTATCATTCTTTTCAATAAATAAACCTGCTGAGCACATGTCCAATCATCTCCAACTGGGGTTGCTTTGAAGGTTGCATGCATTTTAATCCTGTTGATCGCAATGAGGTCAAATATTTATCTTGCAAGTCATCAATGTGTTGAAGAATTTTAGTTTTACTTATTTTGACACAACTGAATCAAACTGACTTCGAATAGCAAATGATTATTCATTTTTTCTGTAATTGTAAATATTTGATGGGATAATGTTGACATAATAATTATTCATTTTTCTGTAATTATAAATGTTTGATGGGATTATGTTGACATTTACAGTTTTGATGTCTTCCATAAATATATAGCAAAATCTGACAAATAGCTTTGGGATAATTGCCCCTAAAAGTTATTTATTACTGCTTTTATGTTTTCTAAAAGCCATAGGAGCAACATGTAGGGTAAAATTGTGAATTGCAGAAAATGATCAACATGAAAGCCATATCATATATATTGTAGGCTCGGATGAAACAAGCCTTTAATTCATCTCATAAAAGAATTTTTTAGATAGATGATGTAGAATAATTAGACAGAAACCAAAAGTCCATTAATTCTTTGTGATATGATGTATGCAACTGTATATAGTTTTTTAACCGGATTTTCGAAGGAAATATCGGTTATTAAAATGGTGATGTACAGCGGGCGGGTGTCAAACAGTGTCAGCACAATAACATGAAAACGCTTTCACAATTTTTTTTCAAATTTAAATATGTTGTTTCCTGGGACTTAATGAAGGTCTAGTTCAATTTTCAAAATATTAGTATATCTCTTTTGTGAGTTATCGCCATTTTTAATATCCAAAAGTGGAATTTTCAAATATTTTACTCTTGTTATCTTTTTTATGACTAAGCATAATGTCTTATCTCACAATAAAAATTGGAGTGACAGATTTATTTGAAAATTATCTATTTCCTAAGTGGTAATGATTATAAGCTATATTATTAGACATTTTGAAGTTAATTACATTATTAATTATTAATTAGATCTGGGTTATATCTTAGCATATAATATCATTGGAGTGACAGATTTATTTGAAACTTTTCTGTTTCCTGATAAGATCTGTAGGACTGTATATATAAAGTTTGAAATTTACTAGTAGGACTGTATACATGAAATTTGAAATTTACTGTTCATTATTAGACATTTTGTAGATAATTAAGTCTCCCTAAACCATATATATTTTTATCCCCACCCCCTTTCAATTTGAGAATGTGCTTTTATCTTGTAAACGGTTGAGATCCCCACCCCTAAACCATATATATTCTTGTATGGGACAATAAAACAAATCAAATGAAATATTTGGGAGTCCCCGGGTTCACCTCTGCAGGAAAATCCGGTTTGCTGTCACTCTGACAGACTCTTGTTTATACATGTAATGAGGAAGTTCACAATACCCGGTACTATGTTTTTGTAAAATAATGTCAAATATTCTAAGGCCATGTTTTCCAATAGTCAATTGGCCAGTTACTAATTTGATTTCTACACAAATTGTTTCCCTTTGTCAATATTAGACTGGTTCTATTCTGGTCAAAATTGACCTCTGCCAATGCAAAGCATGAGAAGTTGAAAGTGATATACATGTATTGAGATTTTAACCAATTATTTGTGGAAAATAACTACTGATATCAAAAGTTTTTAGCTTAAGAAAATTTAAATGTAATGTGTAATTAAAAGATTTGAAAAACTTAAAGATAAATATGCTCTTTCAACTAGCAACACTAGCTCTCTAATGTCAATGAAAATGTATGTACCTTCTAGGGAAACAACTAAAAAATGGATCTGTAATTACATGGTAAATAAACAGATTTGGAAAATACATGTAGATTGACATCTATGTAGCAAAAAGTTATTATTGATTTTATTAACATGAGCATATGCCATGTACAATTTGTATTAGCTTTATAATTATTTAGCAATTTTGTTTTTCAAAAAAGTGTTTACATTTTGTAAGTGTAAAAATATCTGTAATTGAACTCTGCAGAACATTTTTATAAAAACAAATTGAAAGTTTTTACACGTTTTAAATGTTTGATAAAAAGTCATTCCCCAATTATTTCAAATTATCCTGTTTAATTGACGGGGTCTGGCCATGGTGCCACTGAAAAGGAGAGGGTTGAGATTTTCAACAGGGATTTACCAAGGTGTTTGGGAATGGTCTTTTTGATAAAATTTTTGGAAATTTTTTTATATCAAAATCAGTTCATTTAGGAATAATTTTTTTTACTTTGCACGATAATTAATTATTTCTCATTTGAAATGGACCCTTTTACAGAGCCCTTTTCAAAATGCAGAACAATCCACATAAAAACTGCTTATCATAGAATTGATAATGGAAATAGGAAATGTGTCAAAGAGACAACAACCCGACCAAAGAGCAGAAAACAGCCGAAGGCCACCAATGGGTCTTCAACACAGCGAGAAAATCCTGGCGGCTTCCCTAAACAAAAATGTGTACTAGTTCAGTGAAAATGGATCTCACACTAAACTCCAAAACATATAAATGAACTAAATTTAAAAAAAAATACATGTACAAGACTAACAAAGGCCAGAGGCTCCTGACTTGGGACAGACGTATAAGTATAACTTTTACAAGACATTGTTTGACCCCATTCCCCTCAAAAATAATGTTAGCTTTAATTTTAACTCATCAAGAAGGGGGGGGGGGGATTTTCATTGAGACAAAAAATGAAATTTAAGGGTGATTTCATTTATAAACACAATTCAAATCAAAATTTTAAATCCCAAACATAAATCTTATTCTATTATCAGTGCAATTTTTCACCAAAAGAAAATTCAGATTTAGATTGATTGATATTACTACCATTGATGGCTAGATATCTCATTGTCAATCAAACAAAGATTGTTTTAAAAAAAAAAGAAGATTTTTTAAGGATGTTAACTCAGCTGTCCAGTTGGTTTTATTTTCTATTTTTTGCAAAATTACATCTTGTGAAATTTCCCCATTTTTGAACAGATATATCATGTTAAGGAGGGGTATTTGCGAAAAATACCAGTTGAGAGAATGTTAAATTTTGCGAGCCGTAAGGCGAGGGAAATTCATTCTCAAGACTGGTATTTTTCGCAAATACCCCTCAAGAACATGCTATATCTGTTTAATTACACCGAATGTTAACGTACAAAATGCATTGATGATTGTGACATAAAACGCATTTATGATCGTGACATTACAAGCGTCCAGTCGGATAGAGTATTTTTTGGCAAATACCACGGCAGAGAGGGTAAGAAAGGCATATCCTTTTTGCATATACCCCGGCGCTGTTAAAAATGAACGATATTCATTTGATAAAAGTAAATTGGTGAAAAATACACTGGCTATCAACCAATCAAAACCCAGGATTCTTACATAAGGTGTAATTACATCTAAAATGTCATTTATATAAATCAAATTACTGTTTTTCCATTTTTTGAAACACAGACTTTTGTTATCAAATTTAATGTATTTGTTTCCCAAAATAATTTGTGTTTTAATTTCATAATAGGTTAGTGGTTCATCCAGCTTTTTAAAACATTTTAATAAAATTTTGGAATATTTGGTTAATATTGATCAAATTTATTATAATCCATATATTCATATAAACTACAAGGCAATTTTTTCCTAAGCCTTGTAAAAATTTTAAAGGTATAAGTTGCCATCTGGCAATATCTGTATTTAAGATTCTACCTATCCATGATGCTTTTAGTGATTCAAAGTGACTTTCAATATCAATCATATTCAAACCCCGTTTTCATTACTACCAATCATTGTATTTCTTTTTACTTTATCTGGTTTGTCATTCCAGATAAATTTAAAACATTTTCTTTCTATTTTTTTTTTTATATATTTTTCTGGAAATACACATGAGCTAGCTAAAAAGGTGAAGAGTGGTATAATCAAAGATTTGATGATCAAAATTTTTCCTAACATAGTGAGATTTCTCTTTTTCTAAAGAAATAACAATTTGTCCATTTTCTCTTTTATTTTCAAAAATTTGGTTTCTCACATTCTTCTTTATCATGTCCAAAATAAATTTCTAAAGCTTTTACAGGTTTATCTGTGATGTTATACTATTGTTTCAGAAA